CCCCCCCCCCCCGCCTGCGTATCAAAGAGCCAGACGTGGCGCCCGGCAGGTGTGTCCCTCACGGGGGGTGCCGGCGCCCCCAGAGCCAAGGAGTCCAGGGTGGAGGGCGTCAGGGATAAGGTCGGTGTCAGCTACTACGAGGCCAGCAAACGCAGAACCAGGCAGGGACCTTGCAAGTGTCCCTTCAGCCCCGGCCGCACACATCGCAGGCTGTACCTGGGGGCAGTGGGCAAAGAGCCAAACCCAAGCTAGAGCTGTGGCTTCCCTGGCTGTCCGCGCAGTCCACGGGGTCCCCGGCCCGTCACGGCGCTTCTCAAGGGCTCAGCAGGGTCTTCAGAGAAATATCCCCATCTGCGGTCCCCCTGCACCTCCTTGCACTGACACCCACTGTCTGCTCTCATTCCTGGGGGTTCCATGTGCTTTGCCTCTGACCTCTGTCTGGAACTCCTCCAGAAGCGAAGAAATTCTTCCTTTATGGTCCTGCTCTGCTCTCCCACCACCCCGCCCCCCGGGAGCCACAAGGACAACGTCAGGAGTATCATCGGCTACAACGGGACGAGATTTGGACGGCAACGGCTCCAAGCCCTAGCTCACTCGCTGCACTCATTTCCTAAGTAACTCTTCAAGGTCAGCCGCAGGGCTGCCAGACCTGCAGGAAGGGCTGCTGCAGGAAGAAAGGCGCTGGCCCAGGTGGGCAGGTGGGGGGGGGGGGGGGCCCCCCCCCCCCCCCTGCCGATGCAGGGGACATGGGTTCGAGCCCCAATCCGGGAAGATCCCACATGCCACGGAGCGGCTGGGCCCGTGAGCCATGGTCGCTGAGCCTGCGCTTCACCTGCATCAGAGGTGGACCCTCTGTCACACGGGTTCTCTGGGCAGAGCAGTAGGTCAGCACCCAGACCTTTGGTTCCCGGTCTGTGGGTCGGGGATGAGGACATCATTCAAAAGGGGAGAGAGGTTCTCAGTCTCCAAAGTGACAGGACAATTATGTGGTGGCACCCGGGGAGGTGGCTGCACCCCGGACGAAATGATTGTGTGGGGGAAGAACCCCTGTCCCCAGGATGGTGTGGGTGCAGCCGAGAGAGGCTGGGCCCGGGGGGGGGGGGGGGGGGGGGGACCCACCTCCTTGTGCCCTTGGATCTGGGAGCTGACGAAGGCCCCGAGGATGTGGGAGGTAAGGGGCAGGTAGACGTGGACCAGCTGCGTCTCCTGGTGCAGGCAGTACAGGGAGAAGTGTTTGCGAAGCTCCATCGTCTGGATCACGTTCTCCTGCTGCAGAGCAGAGAGCGCCTCGCGACTGGCCCAGTGCACGGTGGGAAGCAGGAGCGCCAGGGCCCACACCCCGCCCCTCCCAAGCCCAGGGCCAGGCCCCCCACTCCGTGCAACACATCGGTCACACCGGCTCCGTCAGCCAGTGCTCAGGAGTCAGCCTCCCAGCAGCTCAGGGAGCCAACCACAGGAAGCCGGGGAGGACGGCCCGGGGCCCGGCGGCAGCTGTGGGAAGCTGCCCTCAGGCCCACCCACCACCCCGCAGGCAGGCCCAGGCCCCCCGGCCCACCTCCACGATGCGGGACTCCAGCTGCTCCACAGACTCGGGCTCGCGGTTCTGCACGGCGGCGCTCATCATCTGCCTCTTCAGCAGGCTGTGCTTGTGCAGTGCCCGCTGGTGCTTGTGCAGCACACCCTTCTCGTGCCGCTCACAGAGGTCCTGCCGGGAGGAGGTGGCACGTCAGCCCAGGAGGTGGGAGACACAGATGGCACCCGCTGCACGTGGCCTCCACGCCTGGGGGCGAGGACGGCTTTTCCTGCTTAGAAACAGCTCACACGCACCCCGCTCACTCCACTCTCCGTGTTCGTGGAAGGGAGCGTCCAGCTGAGCCACCCGGGGCAAGCTGTGAGGGGGTCGCGGTGCGAATCAGCAGAGCCAGAATCCCACGGGAAAATGACCAGCACAGAGCGGGGACAGCCCTGGACCTCACACGTAATGCTGAGCAACTTCCAGAAAGCCAGCACCCCTCCAGCAACAAGACTAGTCTCCCAAAGGACGACACACTGGCACTTCCCTGGGGCCCGAAAGTAACCCCGATCACAATTCCTGTGGGAATACTAGCCACGGAATCACAGGGCTGCAGCTTCAGAGGCCACTGGCTGCTGTCCCACCCAGTAGAGGAACCCCTTCTAGAACCTTCCCCACCGGCGCTGGGCCAGCTCCCCCTGAGCTCAGCACAAAGGATCCTCAGGACTCACAGGTGCTCCATCCCGCCACCGATGGTTGGAAAGCCACCCCTGCCCCGAGCTGAGGCCTGACTTCCCAGAACCTCCATACCCTAGAAGAGGCGGCTCCCACTGGGCCAGCCCCTCGTGTGTTTATAGAGGGCGATGGCAGTCACACTCACATACACACACATGCACACGCCCCTCGCTCTCACATCGGGGAAGCCAGAGGCCTGCCCACAGCACCCTGCAGGACGCACACCCCCTCCCCCGGGGAGCCTGCAGGCGGCCCATCCGCACCGCGCAGCCCTGGCTTCAGGCTCCTTTTCCATGTCCCCCAGAGTCACACCCTTGGAAGGTCACAACAGCCTTCTCAACAACTCCGCCCCTGACCAGGCAGCAGCCGAGACTCACTTGATGGGACTGGAGCAAGTCCAGGAAGAGGTTCAGCCCCTCCACCACGCCGTTCTCCTGTTCGCCCTGGAAAACACGGGCAGGTGGGCCAACGCCGACCGAGCACGCGGGCCCAGAGCCAGGGCCGCACAGCCACCGTGGGCCTGGGCTGGCTTGGCCCCCAGAGCCGCGGGCCAGCCGTGCAGGGGGCCCCGTCCACACGACAGCCGGCCGACGTGGGGCCGAAGCCTCGGAACCCGCAGGTGCACAAGGACGAGGGCCGGGTGCCCCGTGCCCGCCTCGCGTCCGCTCGCCTCCCTACCCGCCCAGCAGCCTGGCCGCCCGCAGACAGCGGGGCTGGGTTGAAACGGGGGAGCAAGCGGGAGGGATGCACCGGGGACAAGGGGAATCGCTGCGGCTTCAACGAAAGGGAGAGGAGCGCGGCCTGCAAGGGGCCGAGGGGAGGGTCTGCAGCTGCGGGACTGAATCTGAAGACTGGGGGGGGGGACCCCACACACGCCTCTGCACCCAGGTTGACGCGGGCGGCCTCACGGCGTCATGGGAGGGGGCTGTTCGCCGACTGGGTGTCCTGGTAACAATGGGGTGAAGCCCCGCTCCCGGAGTCACCCACTGCACCCGCAAGGCGTGTAGCCCAGCGCCGCTCGCACGGACAAGCCACGTCCACACGGCCAACGGGCACCGATGCTCGGAGCCGCTCCCGGGCAGGAGGAGTCGGTGCCAAAGCCCTGGGCTGGGCTGCTCTGGGCTCAGAGTTGGTGCCTGGAGACGAGGGAGGGCAGCATGAGGCAGAAGCGCGGTCCCTCCACCTCCCGCTCCAGGCGCGGCAAACACGGGCCTGCAGGCCACCACGCACCTTCCCCCGGTCGCCACAGGCTACGGTGGTTTCCAGGGAACCCCCCACGCTAGCTCTGTGGTCCCAGCCACGTGTGCTGGGGGGCTCTCGCACCCTCACATCCCTCAGCCACCAATATGCGTCAAGCCCCTCTTCCAGGTGCGCTGAGCACCTCTCCCAAGTGCAGCACCGGCTCCTCCGGGAAACCAAGCCCCTTCTGAAACCTCTAAAGCTCCAGCCACGGCAGAGAATGAAAAGTTCATCCCATAAACCACACATCAGACTTGGTATGAGGAGGGTGCAGGCAGAAGAAATGAAGAGAAGGCCAAGACCGATGGGGACACGAGCGCTGGATGGGAGCCGGGGGCTTCCACCCAAGCTCCGGCACCAATTCAGGGGACCCTGGGCCCTCGGGCCCACTGAGCCCAGAGGTTCCCAGCCATTCAATCCCGCACCCACAGTCAAGGTTCTAGCCAGTAAGGTGACAGGAAAATAACAGGCATGTTGCAGGTTTTTTCAACTCAGAAAGGGAAATAGCAGATGGCCACAGGTGCCCTGTCCCTCCTGACTGGGCAGGGGACACAGGAGAACAGAGGTTCCTCCCCGGGTGTGTAGCAGGGGGGATTCCTGCATGTGTCATTTGCTCCCAAGTCCCATTTCTGCTCTGATGCTGTGCAAGACCCTAAACCACCAGCGCATGTGCCTTTACAGAAAGCACACGCCCTGGCACCAAGGAAGAAACAGCCCCACTGTGAGTCTCACTTGTCTGGCTGGGACGTAGTTATCAGGTCTCCTAACAGGTCTGGGGAGAATAAAACCGTGAAACATAAAAACAGAATTAGAACTAGCCCTCAGATATCTTCACTTGCACAGCAAGAGTGAAGTGGAACCCTAGCTCTGACGGATGAAAGTCCTGACAGGCCATTTCATCCAGTTTCGTGTTAAAACTGTATTGATGGGGGGCTTCCCTGGTGGCGCAGCGGTTGAGAGTCCGCCTGCCGATGCAGGGGACATGGGTTCGTGCCCCGGTCCGGGAGGATCCCACATGCCGTGGAGCGGCTGGGCCCGTGAGCCGTGGCCGCTGAGCCTGCGCGTCCGGAGCCTGTGCTCCGCAACGGGAGAGGCCACAACAGTGAGAGAAGCCCGCGTGCCGCAAGAAAAATAAATTAAAAAAAAAAAAAAACTGTATTGATTTCACTTCAACATAGAAACCACCAAGAGCAATGAGGGATATTCAGGAAACAGCACCGCGCAGACATGACATTGCAAAGCAGCATTTGGGAGGAACCTCAGAGGCAGGAGGAACTTCAAACCGCAACACGTCAGAAGCCTGATGCCGTCTCCCCTCGTCAGGGCAGAAGCGGCATCCAAATCTGAATCAGAAAAGATGCTGGAAATGATCGAGTTGTGGTTCCCACCCCACTCTGTGCACCCGCTCCAGGTTACCTGTCCAAGAGGGAGCTGTGGGCCCAGGGCCTGGGTCCCAGCAACACAACAGCTTCGTTTGTATGTTTTACGGACTGAGCTCTGAGTACAGGGCCAAGCGTTAACCAAAAAGCTGTTAATAATCTAGGCCAGCTCCCTTGTTTCTAATCACAGAGAAAAGTACCCAGAGACCAAAGCAGCCCGAGCGAGGTCCCAGCACAAGACACAGGCCAGCACAAAGCAGGCTGCCCGAGCTCGCCCGCCTCTCTACCCAGCCAGTCCTCTGACACCACGTTCTTGGTCCCCAACCCCACCCCGCCTGCCACGGAAACGTGGGCTCCTCTCACCTGGAGATGGACTGGGCCCCGGTGCCAATTCCGCACGAAG